CTGGAGAAAGGCGAGTGCAGCTAGCATTCCTCATATATATATATACTAGTTAATACCCCGGGCATCGCTGGGGACGTCAAATGAAAAAAAAAAAAATAATAAAAATTTAATATAAATTAATATATTAATAAAAAAGTAATTAATAAAATATTATTAAAATACATATATAATGTTATATAAGATTATTAATATTTTTTTTATTAGTAAAGAAAATTTTATTAAAGAGGTGCAAAGAGTATGTGGAATATTAGATGCCCTCAAATAAAAAATATGTGAAATAAAATCATAATTAAGAAGATCAAAAGTCTTTTATTTTTAGATAGATCAAAATATTTTATTATGATGAGGAGTACAAGAAGTACTCTACCAAAATCTCTATGAAACATTATAAGAGATCACTTAAGAGGACATTCAAAAAGTGAAAAGTGAAAAGCTAAATTCCTAAAAGCGTAATCTAACTTTTAGTAATTTTTTGGACACATAAACTAGGAAAATTACACCAACAAAAAAAGGAAAACACAGTGTTTACATATTTCCCCCTAATCCATGCAAAAGACCTCTTTGAATTAAATCAAATGTTTTGTCCTCATCCTATTGTTGTGAATTGTAGATAATGTTGTTTCTTGTGTACCATATGGACAATGTCACCACCAAGAAGATGAAAAACCAAAGATCAGCTTTAACTAGTTTCTTTATCCCTTGGTTATGAGCTTCACAAAGAAGAGAAATTGAGTTGGGTAGGGAGATGAAAAACCCCCACCATTTGTAACATCTCATCCATAAATCTTGGATCTTTGAACATTGAACAAATAAGTGATTTTCATCCTCAACATCCCTTCTACATATGCTGCAAATGCTCTCCTCTTCTTCAAGCAGAATGCCCCTCTTTTGAAGACTTGATTTTGTTGGCAGACCATTAAGGAGAAGGTGCCAACCAAAACAGCTGACTTTTGTCAAAATTAATTTATTCCATAGCCTCTTCCATATTCTTGACTCCAGAATTCTGCTTTGTCTAGCCATCATTGAGTATGTCTTGCCGACTGTGTACCCATTTGCTGCATCTAAGCTCCGGCTTCTTTGGTCCGATTGGGAGGAAAGAAAATCAAAAGTATAAACAAATATGATAATAGAAAAGTAAATCAATAGAAATATCACTACTAAATATGAAATGTAACTCAAATTACTGAAATATAATCAATAAAATTACCATGCAAGAAGATAAATATGATTATTGTAATGAAAAAAATGACAATTGTTAATTAAATTTCACGAGCACAAAGAATAGAATAAGTGGAAATCCCCATACAGTAAGAAGACCATATAGTATCAAATGCTTTGAAAAAAGACATACAAAATAATAATTAAGATTAAGAGGCTGAATATATAAAAAGATAGAAAAGAAATATATATTCCCATTACAATGTCTTATAAAAGACATTTAACCAAAAACACACTTGAAGTTCTTAATTTAAACATTACATATTTATTTATTTCATGTTATTCATATAAGAAAACACAGTTTCATAATTTGGTTCAACCAAACACAAAATGTCATCAATCTTTCTCAGTCTTTATGAGCTTCTTGATTTTTGTTACAAACTGCTGAAGTAGGTTATTAGAAACTTCATCTAGACCAGCCTCAATAAATGACCTCTTTGAACTGATATGTTCTTCATTCAGTGTATCTTCAATACAATTATCTCATGTGTGGAAAATCTCGTCCTACAATCACAAACATTACCAACATTAAAAATTAAATGATGAAACCGTAGACCATCGTGCTAACTTATAATAATAAAGAGTTGACATAATTTTTATTAAAAGGTAAAAAACTCACCCCAGCAACATATTCTTTCATTGAAATACTTGCATTTTCGTCACACGAAAAGTTTTGAATTTCAAAAGATTCCTACATGATTAAGTTATAAACAAAAATTTTTAAAAATTTGAACTTAATTTAAGAATAAAAATTTAATAAATATAAGTAAACACACATGTCCAGTTGTTTGTAAAAAGCTATCAATGATCTTTTCATCAAAAAAAATCTTTCAACATTGTAGACACTTTCTTCAAAACTGTTAATATTGTTATGTTTGATGCTCAACCTAAAAATCATTTTCTTGTTCTTCAGAGCATCAAGCTCAGCAAGATAAGTTTCTGGATCACCACCCTTATATAATTAAAATTAATTACATTATCAAAAATATCATATAAAAGATTAAATCACATAAAAATAAATATTGAAGGTGACAGAGAAAATTACCTTTTTGAAGTGCAGGTCCCGTAAATTAAAAGTAGAAATATTAAGAAATCCCTTTGTAACAGAATATAATAGAACGAGAGATGTAGCATCAATTTCATCAACTACACGGACTCGAATGCAATACCTTTATAACAAAAAAAACAATGGAATTAGTATCAAATAATTAAAACCATAACTTAAATCAAAATTTAATATTTTTTTCTATGTTTATGAAAAAAATTCTATGAATTTCAAATCACAAACCTCAATCTAGGATTTGACCATCCCTTGTCACATTTTCTGCAATACCATATTCCAAAGTCCTGCTCAACACTACTTGTACAATTAAAGCAAGATTTGTAGAATAAGTTATGTGTAGATTCAATCAAAATAATCTTAGCAAGAGTCAAACAACTTATAACCTACAAATGACAATGTATAACACATTAAGTAGATAAAAAAATAATAAAATATAATACCTATAAATAAAAATGAGAAAAACAACTTAAGAATTACTTCTCTAGACTCCTTAATTTCCACAAATAGTTTTCCTTAAGGTAGAACGCAAAACTTCATCACCAAGTGACAACGTGCTAGAGCCTACGGTGCTCGACTTTTCAATGTGAACCCCTTCACTAGTAGGAATCCTACAAAAAATATTTGTAGACTAAACCAACAAACATTGGGGCCTTAATGCACAAAAAAATCCAACAATAAAATTCATTGAAAAAATGGAAGACAAACACATAAACAAATCAACTATCAAAATCTACCTAAATAAGTTAAACTAACCTGAATTGCAAGCACAAATATAAAATGCAATAATCAAATTAATAAAATTAAGGAAAATTTGATTAACCAATTCAAACAAATTCAATACTTGCATCAAATTAAATCTTTTGACTATTGACAAGCTAGACAATAAACCATCTAAAAATCAGATTTAATGCGCAAACAAACGAATCCCTATTCCTGATAGAATTTGTGAGAAAAATTCCAAAGTTAAAGCAAGAATCCTACAAATATTAAACTTAAGTAAAAATAAAAATGTTGATGCATAACAAAAATTAAAAAAAAAAAAACTACTAAAACCAGTAAAATTACTTCTCCTTAAATGCCAAAACTTCAGAAATATCATAGTTATTTATAAAGATCCTAGTATTGAACATAATGTTGGAAATCCCCATCACACTTAAATAGTCCACCAAAAAAATTGTATAAAAACTTTGAAAATAAAATCTAAAAAACATACTAAAATTGATAATTAAAAACATAGAGTAAAACCTCTCCATGATTTCATCTTAGCAAATTGAATGATGATGATAACAAATTCATTGGAGTTTTTTTCAATAATCGAACACATTTTAATAACAAAATTTTCCCAAAAGGTGTAACGAAACTTATTACTGCTATTTAAAAGAAGGAAAAAAATAAATAAATTGAAAAAAATATAATAGGAAATTAATAAAAAAACAAAAATATTCAAATGAAAAATAACTAAAATTATCAAGTTAAAATGAAATCATATTCAATGGAGAATCATTTTTCGTCACTTCTTTCCACTCAATTACCACTGACAATAACCCAATAACATCTGCAAAGGAGCAAATAATTTAATGTAGAAACCAAATTAAACCAACAATTTATAATAAATATACCAACTAAATAAGCATTTTCTTGAGTTTGGTTTAAAATTTTATCAAACTCGACGAAACAAAATGCATAATAAGAGATGCTAAAACCATTAAGCAAATTGTGAGCAATTTTAAGATTAAAAACAATATTGTATTTATGTGTGGTTGGTTTATAAGGATTTTCATTCAAATAAACACAAAAATTTGAAATTGTATAAACTCCTCCTTCGGTAAAAGCATCCTTAAAATGCAAAGAAGCCTTAAAGAGTTGCTTAAATCCTTCCCCCCTAACAAAACATAAAAAAGTACAAGAATTAAGGGATCGTGTAAAGCAAACTTTAGAATATTGAATGAAAAACCAAATTCAAAAACACAGTTCTTACCTATTCATCCAAAAGAAGCATTTCAATATTATCACCTAGTTTTAGCTGTCGAAAATTCTTTTGCTTCCAACGCCTAATTACTAACCTTTATCCTCCATTGCTATTTAGAAGGATTTAGATCTTTAATAAAATCAAATATATTAGCGATTAGAATCTATATATTATTTCTCTGATACTAAAAAAAAAGGCTGGTATAGCATTATATGTATGTAGAAGAGACCCTTCAAATGACCAATATTTATTGGACAAATTATCAAAAAGAATTAGAGAAATAAAATCTGCAGAATTGGAAATAAAAATAAAAATCAACAGATGAACATAAATTTTCAATATATTGGAAATATAAAACAATAAATAGTGGAATACAATAGATTAAATATTGGAATGCAATAGATTAAATAAATATGAATATTTTGAATTTAATAAATAACCAAAAAACCCATCATCTAATGGTTAAAAATAATTTTTTTCATGCACCACATATTTATTATTTTAATAAAATCAAACATCTTATTTATTGGACAAATTATCAAAAAGAATTGGAAAAATAAAGTTTGCAAAATTGGAAATAGAAATCAAAATCAACAGATGAATGTAAATTTTTAATCCATTGGAAATATAAAATAATAAATAGTGGAATGGATCAGATTAAAGATTGGAATGCAATAGACTATAAATAGGCTGATGTGTAGATTTTCAAATGAGAGGTAGAGAGAGAGAGAGAAGGGGGGGGGGCGGAGATCACAGGGTAGATGGTTAACACAACCATATGAGGATGTTAGATTCCAGGAGAGGGGACGCCGTCAACAGAATCCGGGTGTCTACGACAAGAGAATTTATAACCAGGCAATCCCTTTTTTCTTTACAAATTTCCCAGAGGATTGGCCATTCGAGCAGATGTGGCACACTTTCAACAGTCTAGGTCTCGGACGGGTATTAGAGATTGATTGCCCAGTGAAGAGAGACAGATTGGGCAGACGGTTCGGGTTTGTCCGATTCCTAGATGTAAAGAATGAGGGTGAACTGGGAAGAAGACTGAATGAAGTCAGGATAGGGAGTTATGCATTGCAAGCAAACAAACCGAGATTCATGAAGGGGGATCGAACAAAAATGGAGAATGCTAGCAACCGCCGCATGATACGGAAATGGAGCCATCATAGCACTAAAGGTGATGGTAACGGACCTTCATACGCTGAGGTCGTACAAGGTACTATCAGAAAGGGGGGAGAAAGTTCCAAGAATAGAAGCTGGGAATGGAGATCAGGACAGAGGAAAGGAAGCAAAGATCCCAGTACCTTTGAAGGTCAGCAGAAGGAATGGCATCCAAAACAACAGCTCCAGCACTGGTCGGGTATAGAGTTGAAGATCGATCAGGAAGATTATGCATGGCTGAAGAAGTGTTTTGTTGGTAAAGTGCACTCAGTAAACTTGATCCCGAACTTGCAAGAAAAATTCTTCTTAGAAGGAGTCTTCTATTGCAAAATCACACCTATGGGAGGCAGATTAGTGCTTTTAGAAGGCAAAGATTATGAGGATTTGAAGGAGCTGGTGGATAGGGGCATAGATTGGATGGGGCAGTGGTTTGAAGAGGTGAGACCATGGTCCCCTTGTGCGGTTGCTACAGAGAGGTTCGCTTGGATCCGTTGCCAGGGGTTACCAGTGCATGCATGGAAATTAGAGACTTTTGAAACCTTTGGAAGGCTATGGGGAAAACTGATATCTCTCGATGACAGCACAAGCAGCAAGCGGAGATTTGATGCTGCAAGGTTCTTAATCACCACACCATCCGCAGAGTCAATCTCCAAGACTATCACTGTAAAGATTAATGGCGAATTTTTCACACTGAAATTTTCAGAAGAAGAGTCGACCAATTCATTATTCACAATGAAGTCGGACAGGGTATTCCAGGCTCCAAATGAAGATGAAGATGATGAAAGCAGCTCCTTAGATAGTCAATATGAGTTAGATTCTGTGAAATATATGGAACTGTTAGAGCATGATGAGTGTCAGGTTTCCGGTAATGAGGGCGTTGGAGATAGGGAGATCACGGAGAATGAACTGGCAAACCAGAAAGCTCTCGACGGAGGCAGGGCATGCTCGGAGGATGATCTGGCAGCACAGTTCGATGAGGGGGGAATCAGGATCGAGGTGACGGGTCATGATGATGAGGTGGTTAGCTACAGTAAGATGATGGAAGACTCCAGACGAAAGGGGGGAGAGATAACTTCTTCTAATACCGAGGTGGTTGAGGAAACAACGGGCATGGGTGAATCCGGAAAGGGATTTCAGAATTCAAATTCAAACTCAGAAAATCCAAGAGAGGGGGATACAAGAAAGATTTCGAAGGATCCAGAAATGACGGCTAATAAAGCTGATCATGGAAACTGGGATAATGATAGCCAATTCAGCTCTAATGCAGAGAAGGGGAGCCTCGGTAAGTCCACTCAAAAGAGAACAAGCACAACAGAAGAAAGGAGCAGAAGTCACGGCCCAGAGGAAGAAAAAGATAGAGCCTTACCTGATGGGCCTCCAACAAAAGAAATGGGCCTACAAGAGGAGATGGGGCTGAGGGTGATTGATTCACTCAAATCTTCAAGTTTAGGCCCGGTAGAGCAGTCGGTGAAAACAATTATCAGGCCAAAAATAAATAATAGCCAGACCATCTCTTCTTTTTGGGAGGACCTCGATAGTGATCCCGAGATTCCAACTCATTGGATGAACATCAAGGATGGGAATGGTAGAAGAAAAAAGAAGAGAAGAGCGAAGTCCTGCGCCTCGGTCTACAGGAAAACAGGGGGATTGGAAGGCATCCTAATTCAGCAAAATCCGAAAGGACAGAGACATGCATCAGTGAAAACAAAGAAGGAGGTTCTGTTCGAAAAAAATCCAGAAAAGCCGGTGGCGGATGACTCGATCAACGACAGCAACATCCAAAATCGGAATAGAAGCATTGATCTGAGAAGTAGAAAACGGAATATGGAAGCTTTATGGTCCCGGGTCAAAGAAATGGGGGTATCGGCTCAAGGAGAAGAAGCAGGGGTGATACAGAAATTGAATGAAATGGAAAGCAGAGATAAGGAAAAATGGAGGAAGGAGAAACAAAAGAAATACAGTAAAGGAGATCAGGTGAGTCCTCACCCTCCATGATTTTATTATCCATTAATAGTAGAGGAGTAGGGGGGGTAGGAAAAAAAAGGGTGATTCGGGAGTTGATTGCCAAACAAAAGGTTGAGGTTTTGTTTATTCAAGAAACTAAACTGGAGTCTGTAGACGATAAGATTTGTAGTATGTTGTGGGGCTCAGATAAATTTGAGTGGGTAGCACAATCCGCGTCTAGAGCTTCCGGGGGAATGGTAACTATTTGGAACCCGTGCGTCTTCAAGAAGACTAATAGCTTTCAAGGGGCAGGTTTTTTGGGTGTTGAGGGGATTTGGGGAGAAGAAAATATTCCTTGTTTTCTGGTAAATGTCTATTCTCCTTGCGATTTGGCTAATAAGAGATCCCTATGGGAGAATCTGTCCAGTATAATATCCTCTCATAAAGGCAACTGGTGCATAGCTGGGGATTTCAATGCCATCCGAAACCTTCAGGAAAGGAAAGGTGGTATCAGCGTCAGGAGGGAGATCAGGGAGTTCAGTGAATTCATTGAGATGAATGGGTTGATAGATCTTCCTATGATAGGGAGAAAATTCACCTGGTACCAACCGAATGGTCACTGTATGAGCCGATTGGATAGGTTTCTATTCTCTGAGGAATGGATGCTTAATTGGACAGACTTGAAGCAATGGGGGTTACCTAGGGCTCTGTCAGATCACTGTCCAATTCTGGTGAGGGATGAAACACGCAACTGGGGCCCCAAACCATTCAAACTTTATAATGTGTGGCTTCAAGATTCTGCGTTTAGGAAAATGGTTGAAGATCAGTGGAATAACTCAGATATTCGAGGATGGGGAGGCTTTGTGTTGAAAGAGAAGCTAAAAAGAGTGAAGGCTTGCACGAAGGAATGGGCACGGTCTCAAGTGCAAACGGTGGATAACCAAATTGAGAAGGCAAAAGCCA